TGATAATAATAATAATATACAAATATACACATCTACAAAAGAGTGATACACAGTGCAACTGCTCACCATCCAATGACCAAGGCCCAGCCAATTCCCAGCTAACAACCCCAGAGCAGAGGAAGTCCCAAAACTGGAATCTCAGGAAAGAGAGACAAACCTGAAAGCCTAAGAGAGTGAGCTTCCAGACAGATCCTCATTATACACTAGGCATGACATGCATGATACAGAATATAGCATTGGCCAATTTGGGCCTCAATGCTAAACCTGAGGTTGAATCCTAAACCAGCAATTGTAGGCTATGTTTCTTCCTAGCTTCTTGTGCACCTGCAGACACTAGCAAAATATGGGAAGTTGGAAAGTCCTTGGCTTAACATAAACATTGCTTAGCAAAACCTAAAAACATCAGTATGTTATCAACATTCTTCTCAGCACAAATCCAAAACATAGCCTCATACTAGCTACTCTGAAGAAAGCTAACTCCGTCCCAGCTGAAACCAGGACATCAAGGAACCTACTGCAGGAAATTGCATTCTCAGACCGTGCAGGAAAGAGGTTCTGGAGATCCAAGCTGGATGTTTTGAAGAAATGTTTTCCCTGATTAATCAAAATGTGAAGATTTTGAGATGAGTCAGTTTTGTCAGGTTTGCTTCAGGAATGTTTTGGCGATACAAGGTAGTCTCTGATATATGAAAGGGTGAGTGGGTGAGCAGGAAGAGCAAGCTAGTTTTGAACCATAAACCTCACCTAGTCAGTAAGGAGCTAGACCTTCTGGTGTGCTGCATCTTTCTAAAAATGTGCAGAAGCATCAACTTGCATTCGCACGCAGAATAAAACAAGCTCAGTACTGCAATATTTGTCAGTTAACTAAGTGCTTCTCACAAGCTCAGCTCTCAAACTTAAGTTTACTAGTGGGGCTTATTTAGTTTCACTTAGGTCTTGTGGATCCCTCTCTCTCTGAAGTACTTCTAGTTCCCTTCACAAAGCCAGGGGTGACCAAGAAGCTACTGTAAGGAGGAAGAATTTAAGATTATGCGATAAAGAGGAACACTTTGCAGAAAGAAGAGTCTATGCAGAAGAACGGCTTCCACTTTAACCAAAGTGGAAACAAGCAGCTGCACCTAAAGTTCATGAATTCTTGTCTTGTGTGGCTATTTTAAACTAGGAACAGGGGAAAAGTGATAGTTGCTAAGGAACACTGAGGTCAAGCCAAGACATCTGTTAGGGATGATAGTAATTCTGCGTCCGGTGGTAAGGAAATAGGAGAGAAGTGACAGTCAGACTAGGAAGAAGAAGAGTCTGAAATCAGAGGTACTTTCCAAAAAATCAATGAAGTTTCATTATCTAAATAAAAATTGGCCTGTGACTAGAAGTACATATTCTACTAGAAACACATGTAGTATTACCAAGATGAGAAACTTAAAAGCAAACAAGTGAAGGACACTGTCTGGTCACAGTAAACACTTCTTAGTAGGTGGCCTTCTTAGGTCGCCTCCAATCTGAATTATCCTATAACCCGATGAACCTATGGTAGAACAAATAAGATCAAGGAAAGTCCACAGGCTACAGCTAACTGAGTCTCTGCTGGAAAGCAATAGTGTAGCCATGTCTGCAGCAGCATCTGATTTCACGCTGTCTGTCCTCCATTCAGGCTGTCATTTCTGCCCAAGCTTTTATTTCTAGGCACACCATCTCTAGCTGATGTCTTGTTTTGAGAAGGCTTACCAGGTCTTACGTGTTAATGCAGCTATGTTTCTGGAATCCAGCTGTTATCTCCAAAGTCCTACACAATGTGCATACACCAGTTTGAGCTGGGGTACAGATCTTTGTACTGTACCTCACTGCATAAGCTAGTGATGTTCACTATCAGGCCCTAAACATCACTCTAAGCTGATGGCTTAGTCTAAGCTAAGGCTAGTGTCTGCAGATTTCTTATGTGGTCACTGGAGAGAGGCAGGGTCCTCCAGAAGGTTTTTCAGAGCATCTGCATTAGATTTCTGTGCTGAATTGTCCCAAAGCAGCCTAATTCTCTCTGGGTGTGTCTAATTCAGATGCATTTCTGAAGTACCTCTCTTGATTGTCTCCACTCATTAAGCTTTAGTTCAGATCATGGAAGGGTCTTGATGTGCACGAATTGAACTCTTTTCAGAGGAAACCTAACTCAAAGATGCTTTCCAGAAGCATATCTAAGTCACTGCAGCTTGCACATCTTGTGGCCAGCCTCGAGACTGCCCTAAATAAACCCTTGCGAAACACTTTAAACACAGACTTTGAGTCCTCGGTACTGATTATTTCATCTACAGATCTATTCTTAAGGGGCCATACTACCTGCTGGTATACAGAAAACTTTTAGTGTCTCAATAAGAAGCAGAGAGGACTACATTGATTTAGGTATAGCGGAAACAGTCCCTCAAATCACAGTTTCTGGCAGGAATATGACCATGGACACAAAGAAACCCATAAGAGGACAAAAAACCCCCCATAAGAACAATAAGTCATTCTGAAAATGTATGCAGTATGGCCTTCTGGAAAAGAAGATTGATAATATTGTAAAAGAAGTATGAAACAGGAAATTAAGTTTAACAGAGCAGTAACAACTGAAGGTGAATTCAGATACTGACATGTAAAATTTCCCAGTGCAACACTGGGTAAGACTTGGAAAAGTAACACTTCTGGACTTAAAGGTTTTAATTTGCAGTGGTGAATTTCAAGTACTAGAAATACAGAACTTAAAAGGAGAGGCTACTCTTTCCATTGTCCCAAGGAGTTTGTAGTAGTAGTAGTACAGCAGCTATTAAGCAACAGAAACCACAGTGTTCAACATCAATGGGAAGAGATTATTAAAAAAAAAAATGTGGTTGAAGTTGAGAGAAGGGGATTTCAAAATGCAGGAAAACCAGGAAGCTACTCAAAAAGACTCCACGGTCAAAAGTAGGTACAACAGGTCAGAGTGGAAACTGTGTAAATCTCATCTAGCAGAGTCATAGAAAGGATAATGAGTCCAAAAAAAAAGCAAAAAAAAAAAAATACCTGAAAGAATGAATGAATGCAATAAACAAATGAAGTACTGTAATGACCAGTGTCACCCGACCTATTCTTTGCAAAATAGATAACCACTCAGGTAAAGTCAACCAAAAGGATCACAAAAATAGCTATAAAAATGCATGCTGGCAGTGACAAAAGCTGAGGCAATTTGAAAAGTAAACAAAGGCAGGCATAAAATCAGGTGCAAAAATATTCAAGAAAACCACTCCTTGTTGGACCACATGAAATAAAATGTTAGTAAAGTGGGCAAATGTTATTGATAGCTAGATTTACTTCTCTGCTTCAGACTTCATCCCAGATGATTTCGAGTGAAACACGTCTCTGGTTTGTTTTTCCACGTACTAAATAAGAGGACAGAATAAGATGATAACAGATTTATCTTACCTTATGAGATTTAGCATATAGGAATTAAACCTAGCAGTTGTATTCTAGTTACTATTAGATCTTAATTTTTCCTGTTAAAAGTAAAAAAATTAGGAAAAAGAGAAAGCATGATTTGCCAAGAGATTTTTTTAAAGTAACATGATGCACATAAAAAAATACAGTTTTTCTACACACCTTTCCCTGCTTTTGGCTGGCCAACAGCAGCATGTGTCACTTGGCTTTCTGGAGTATTCTGCAGTGTATAGTAGACAGTCTCATCTGCATAAAAATCCGCTGCACTGGTCTTCAAGAATTAAGACAGTGAAGAGTTATTAAAAGAGCACATTCTCTGAGGAAAAATAAACTTGTAGTAATTAATTGTCTGAAGCCTTCAAAATCCAACTTTTCATCACCTCACCCATGGAAGACTTTTCTCAGCCACGAAGGCATGCAGTGTACTGCCAGTAGCGAGTGGCACTAATTTATGTCCAGTGGGAAGGACTGCCCACCAGGGGAGAAATTAAGAGGGAAAATGGAGTAATTGCCTCACTCTGGACCTTCAACCCTTCTGCTGGAAGCAGAGGAGGAACATGGACTCTGTTTCCAGAGTTAGTAAAAGACAAGGGCCACCTGGACAGTGGCCTCCACAGACACTGTAGTTGATCTGTCACATTGTCACTAATCTGCTGGTTGAAAATGGGCTTTTGTGGAATCTAGTTACCTGAAATTATCTCCCCTGCAATATTAATTTTCCATCACTCCTGGAGGCACCCCTCCCAGTGTTTTTAAGAATGAATATGGACTCTAGAGGCTGAAGCTGAACTCAGAGTCCAGAAAATGCTTGTCTTTCCAGCACTCTTAACGCAAACTGTTAGAGAAGAAATCAAAGGCATGGTGCTTTCTCACAGTAGCAGAAGCTGTGCAGGGGCTGGAAGTTGTTCTCTACCTGCTCCCAGGTCATAGAAGCCCTTTTCTCTGCTGTACTAGTAGGTTTGTTTGTTAGTTGTCATGTTACATGATGAACCACAGAGGAGCACAAGAAGCAAACAGCTAAGATGAATCCTAGAAAAAGACTATTAAACATGTTTTGCAAATATTTCCTAAGCCAGTTTCATCTGAATCATGCCTGGCCAGGCTGAATTTCTGTTAGCATTAACATAATTATTTGCCTTACAAATCACAAATGGGTATCCCATTTTCCATTTATGTCTGACTCTGTTATTAGCAACCAGTTCGCTTACAATCACGTTTCTCCAGCTATATCCTTGGTCCTCTGAAGATGGTGCTGCAGAGTAGCTGGGACTTGCTCGGAGGTGGTGGTGATGGTTGATCACAGTCAGGCAATTTTTGTAACCTGAGAATCAGGAGGATGAAGCAAAACCTGAGTGAGTAAAAGGGAGAGAGGAAGGAAAAAAAACCACATCGGCAAACAGCCTAACATGCTACTGGGTCTGTCAAAAAGCATTTATTCTACGTCTGCCTTCTAGATAATAAAGTCTCCAGAGCCAAGATATTTGCTATCAGCAGGTTATCCAACATAATCTGTACTGTTACTGCTAATCACACCCTGAGGCTGGTTCTGTTTGCCTTCACAATGAAAAGCAATATTTGTTAAGATAAAATGTCAGATATTTCATAGTATCATGAAATAGTTTGGTTAATAGAAAAAGGAAGGCCAAACACATCACTAAACATAATGAATGGGATAATTCCAGACTACTATAATACATGCATTAGAAAGGAAAAAAGAATGCCATGCAGTTCTTCTGCAGGCCATTAGCACAATGCAAGTCACAGTCTCCAATCATGAGTGAAGTGAAGAAGCATCAGAGCATCTGCAGTGCCTGAAAGAAAAACACGGAACACAAGACCTTAGGATATTAAAAGAAGCAGAGGAGAACATTGGACTCAGGTGCTTGGAATAAATTATGCACTGCAGGTGGTCAGAAGAAAATTTTGGAGGGTACATCTATTGGAAGTGCAAATGCGAGTGCAGCTGTGGGACATACTAAACACTGAGTTGCAAATGTTTAGTGCCTTTCTCCATTGGTCCTAACAACAGATGCAGGCAAGAACATTGCAAGTAATTATATATATCGGGTCCTTCAGCATGTGTATATTACCTGTGCAGTGGAGCCAAAAAATTATTAACAACTGAAGATATGGCCCAATTGGTCTTATTTATCTTTCAGTATATAATAGATAATATGTAAATAATCTTCCTCTTATGAAATGCATTCCATGCATAAGAGACTGCATATTTTGTTAGAGAGTTTGTGATGTGGCCTCCTATTTCCTTTCCTTCCACTTCTATTTACAATATAAAACCATCAAACACAAGTTTTAAATGTTATAGTAATTTAATTGCCAAAACCTTGCCTGAACTGGAACAATTTACAGCTTGCCTGTGTTTTAAGTTTTGTAAAGCAGAAAACTCTAGAAGCCAAGAAAAACACTTCTATATATTATCCAGACTATATAATTTTTGCATAAAATATTTAAAATTTATATGTTAATGTAAAAAATTTCACCTGTTGGATTCTTGGTCTTTTTTTTTTTTTTTTTACACTCTTATAAGAATCTATTCACAGCATAACTGAAGTGCATTTTTCAATTAAAACATCAAAACTGGAAAATGGCTTTTGCACTATGGTCATATATTTGATTATAGGAAATTTTATCTGAATGCACCTAGGCTAGTGCTGGGGCTAAGGCATAGGGGGACTGTCCAGCAGTTTCCCTGTGCAGTGACATGGAAGATGCACACCACACTGGGCAGTAGTAATGGGGGGGTGGAAACCCTCCAGATATTCTTCCCCCTTTCCATCATCCCAACATACCCCTCTGTTGTCCATTAACCCACTTCAAAATTACGCTCCCACCTATGTTCTTCAAGATACATTTTCCTGTAAAAATACCAAGTGGTAAATGAAATGGAATAATGGTCTTTTTTTACCTGGTGAATACTGCATTTCTCTGTCAGAGTGCTGCTGCAGTACTTCTAGTGCATCTTCAAAAGCCTGGCCCAGTACGTCTTGGTCAGGAAAATTCTGCAAGAACATTTTTCTGTCAGGATCCAGAAAAGACCAGTCTGGTTCTTTCAACATTGTCAGTCAGAAAATCCCAAATAAATACAGTGATTATACAGAATATACATCCTCCTGGGATATGTATTTTGCAGGTACTGAGGCATTACCAAAACCGTTTACTATCATGAGAAAGTTCTCACTCATTTGAGAAGACTCTTTGGGGTCAGTGGGACAACTCACATGGGTAACATTACTCACTTGTGCAAATGTTTCAAGGTTCATTTCCTTAATTTGCAGCAAAAGTTTACATAAAGGGTGTTACTGCTGTTGGAGTGTTTTATAGTATGTAATAGAGAGGTATGTATCACTTGTGTAACATGATTTATGAAGTCAAAGTTATCATGCAAAAACATTGACATGACAAAAATTATTGCACACAAGTTTTAAAGAAGTTATGCAGAGAAGATGTTATACTATGCTAGTACAGGAAATCAAATGTGGTTTTCCTTTTTTTTTTTTTTTAATTTTAGATCAACTTTAGAATAACTTCTATGTTTCTATGATTCTATGAACTGGTTCTAAAAAGCTAACAAATATCCCCCAAAATCTGAGTTTGCCTAAGAGTTTTCTGTAGTGTATTTGAAGCACTCCGCAATGAAAGAGAATAAAGGCATTGTACACTTACCATTATTTAGATATCAAAACTTGAATCCTGTTTAAAATAAACAATATTTTAAAATGGCATATTTCAAAATGAACAATAATTCTCTCAGTACAAATAAAATTAACAAAATAAAATTAACACAATGAAATAGATCCACATAATTTCCAGTGATGGAATAAAATACATTTAATAATACAGGTAAAAGTAATTTAGGATTAGAAAGTGGTATTTTAATGAAATTAAATAATGGTAACACAATAATTTTTTAATTCATACTATTTTTCATTACTAAAGTTTCCAGTTTCTTTAATACTGTAACTTTTAGATTACTATCCACATCTTGTAAACACATTTTTTAAAGACATTATGTAGTGAAAATGTGTTATTGTTGACAGTCAGTTTTAGTCAGCACAACTACTAATTTCCCAGGGAAAATATTGACCTGAACAAGTGCAAGTGTTGAAGTCCTTTTGATTTTCAGACAAAGCTGAAACACATTTTAGGTTTTTTCCATAATGAAGATGAGCATATGACTGTATAGGAATATACATAAACTCTCAAGACTAATTGTGAGCTCCAGAAGCAAATGCTATTGTTTATTAAACAGTGAAAATAGACACATTTCCAGTCAGTTTAACATGGAATATACTTCAGATACAATATCACTCAGAAACAATTCCTTGGTACCTCTTTTTTATTTGGTACAGATTTATACGTTACAGATTATAATGCTCAGGTTTTGTTGCATTGCAGATTTTTTTCCTGTTCTCATTTACATTATTATTTCAAAATTGTAAAAATAATAAAAATAGTAATAGTAATAATGTATTCATCAGTATTTTACTCATTAAAGGTTTCATTATAATCTATTGAAAATACTGGAAATTTTGTCAGTGATCTCAGCAAATGCAAAATTGGTGTCTGTGTGATGCTTTCAAATGCAAAGAAGAAAAAAGATACATAAATATAAATATAGATGAGAAAGAATTTTATCCAAGACTCATCATGAACATTCTAACCTGGTAATCATGCTTCAGATAAGTATGCTATAAACTACTGTCAAAATTTGTAAAATTGTTTTTTAATCTTGATGACGAAGCTCATATGGTGAAATTCTGGTGATTCAGTAAATTGACCTCACTGAAGTCAATGGGATTTTTCTCTTTGAATTCAGTTCTGCAAGTATTTAAAAAAACTTATCTAATTTTATTCTAAAACCAGAATGGGTCACATTAATCCTTTAGCCACAATGGTGGCCACAGATTCTTGAAATTAAAGAAATTTAAGACATGAATCTCCTTTGTAAAGATCCTCATGTAGTGTTGCCCTAATTTTAAGAAAGTCACTTTCCTTAAATTCCTTTTTTCTGACTCAGACTCCAAACTGATACTTGGTAAACTTGACAGAACATCTACAGTCACTCTTGATGCCTTTCAAAGCCAAAAAATGTGTAAGTATTGTCAAGGTACTATTGAACAGTCATACCATTTACACAACTGAATCCGTACCAAAAAAAGAAAAAGTCACATCTTAAGTAAGTTTAAAAAGAAGTCTGAACACTTACCTAGAATTTCAACTCCACACGTAACACAAGAATCTGTCTCGTTTCATAAATAAATGAAAGACTGAGTTCTCACAGCAATGGGCTGGCAAAGGGGCTGCATTAAATAGCTGATTTTAGGGAAGTGTTTTGGCTAGGGATTTTTCTGAGAGTAAAGGTATAGTACACTGCTAGCATGGCCCTTCATTCTGCACAAAAGAAGGGTGATTTATACTGGGATAAAATAAAATTAAATATTTTGAGTATTGTCCAAGTCATGCAGCTTCTAGGCACTGGGAGATAGTCCTTTTGGCTATGGCACATCCTAACAAATCTGTCACCAGTATGGTATGCCTACGGCAAAACCCTACATTCCTCATCTCACCCATATAGACTGCAGTGGAGGTTTTATCTGAACCTCCTGCTTAGCTCAGTGTAAGAAGCGGAGCAAATTAGATACCAAAATAAGAGTTTGAAGAAATTTCAGAATTCTGCTTCAAAGATCATGTTTGTAGCCCAGGCCCAGCTCTAAAGCATTTACTAAAGCATTCAGTACAGATTCAAACAAACTGTAGTTGCTTATTTGCCACATCCTTTCTGAGCAGCTGCAAGCCATGATGTTGCATCCTACAGGATCAGAATGCTGTTTTTCAGTATGAAACTTCCTATTGCTGACAGAATCTATCTCGTGCCACAGCTCTTTGTAGCCAAGTCTTTCAGAGGCATATTTTACAAAATTTCCTCAGCATTTGCCGTGAAACTGCTATAAAACAGTAATTACCCCTTACAATATTTATCTATACTCCCTCAAACAATAGCCATAGTCAAGAACTAGCCTGGCTATCAATGGTGAGTGGAAGCAATGTTAGCATCAACCATTATCTGCTGGTTTCAGATACAGGCTGTCTTTTCAAAATCTGCATCACAAAGTTCCAGAATTTTTTTTTTTTTTTTTTTTTTTGCGTGAAACACATTAATACATGTGTGTGGTTTTTTGATCTACAAGTTCCATGTGTAGCACTTCTCTGGCATGACTTGGAAAGGAAAATTAACAAGAAACAGTGCTCTTAAAACATCAAAATGTGACTCAGCCCTGGATTTCAGGCCAAAATACAACTAAACAATTAACTTCCTTTCCACATACAGTTATCTTTACTTTGCAACATGAAAAAGCAGCGATTTCATGGTTCGGTTCTTTCCTGAAGCAGAAGTATGTATCGGATTTAAAATTATGGATGAGCTTCAAGACCTGTCCTGGGTTCCTTCCCAATAAATGATGTCCTAATAGGCCCTCTGATGATGCAATCTGACCTGCCTACTCCTACAGCTCTACCTGAAGCTGTGCAGTTACTGTTCTGCCCTCCTGTGCTCCCCACTTAACCTGGCCATGAAACTGCAGGAGTGGCTCCTGTGGAGGGGGTTAGGGCTGTCCTGTGCTGGTCACAGCCAGTTCCAGCTGGGTCTGCAACAGACCCACCATGTGCCAAAGTAGAGCCCATCAGCCACATGTGCGGCACCTCTGTGAAAACATACCACGGAAACAGCAGAAAATGCCAAAGGTGAGGAGACAAACCATGAGGGAGAACAGCAGAGGGGACAAGGAGAGAAACAAGGGAATGAGGGACAATAAAGTCAGAGGAGTTGGAAGTGATCCATGACTGAGCAGGTACTCCCCCAAAGGGACAGTGGCACACGCAGGGCCCATGCTGGAGCAGAGAAAATAAGAAGGAAGCAGCAGTGGAAGAAAAGGGTGAGAAACAACGAGAGGCAGAGAGAAACTGCTACATCCTGACCCCAGTTCCCTGCGCCACCCATCACCTTACCGAAGGGACTGAGTGTAACCTGGGGAGATAACAAGAGGGGAGGAGATGTGTCTGGATTGCAGTTGAGCCTGGGAAAGGGGAAGGAAAGATGTTTTAATGTTTGTCTTCCTCGCTTCCCAATACTCAAATCAGCAACTAAATATATTATGGCAATAAATTAAGTTCAATTCCCAAAGTGTGCTAGTAGTTGTGGGGGTGTGCAGCTGCTGGCCAGGGCCAACACACCCTAGTAGTAAAAGAGGGTGAAGGTTGAGAGATTAAAGCTAATGGTTTTAACACCATTAAAATTATCAATCTTCGTAAATCAAATTGCTCGATCAGAATGCTGTCATTTGAAATAAGGGGCTACACAATAAGGCAGGTCAGCAAAAGGTTTGTTTTCAGAGGAAATGGGAAGGTGCCATACATAGCACAAACACACTGCATAAAAACAAGAGCAAACACTTTCTCAACAGGGTAAATTTAAACTCCATAACCCATTTCTACATTGCATCTTTGGCCCGTCAGAAGATCAGAGCAAAGGCTCAGGCTACTTCCCTGGGAAGAAAGCAGGAATTCGGAAGCACCAGAGTAAGGCACAGCTTAGGACTGAGCATCAGCTAACACTGACTGCTCACTCCTCAACAAATCACAGTACAGTCAAGGCAGGCAGCACGGTGGCCTCTACCAAGAAATGTTATTATAGAAGAGAGCCTGCTTTGATTTTTGCATTGCATGGAAAGATGGATTCCAGATACAAGCCTCAGAAAGAGAGCTTACACTTCACATTTTAATGTCTCAAACAGTTGATGTGCCTGATATCAAAATTCGAATATCAGTTAGAAACCACAACATCCAGCACTTGTTGGAGGGCTTGAGAAAGCATAAAGTTTCTTGCATGAGGCATTGTTCAAATGTAGAATAAAAAACAGTTTCTCCCTTTCAAAAGGAATGAAAAACTTGAAATGGCAAGTTTTCTCACTAGGCATTTGTAGATTTCTCATGTTTGGTTTGGTTTTGGTTTGTTTTTTTTTTTTTTTTAATGAATGTAATTTGTAACTGCCCAAATAAC